AGAATAAGTCTTTTATCACATTACTTCAGCTTAGACTTCCGGCATTTGAATTCATTTTTTCTGCGAACAACCGACCCACACATGACTGCGAAAGATATACAGAGAAGGAGAGACAAAATTGTATACTTTTCTTTCTGCATGCGCTTATTTTATTTGGAGCATGACAAAGCTTCAAGAATGACATGTGACTAAGAATTAAGTTTTGTCCAGGTTTTGGAGATACGAGAGACAATAATTTTTCTTATGATTGAGTTGGAGTACAAGGCAAACGTTAGAAAAGTGTATATACAACCAGTCCATTTCCTTTATGCGAATTTGATTCCAAATCAAGTCCAGTAAATTTAATTTAATATCACAGTTTGAAAAAAAATATTCTAGTGCTTTTTTTAATTTCTTTATTTAAATTTAACACGGCTCTGAAGTGATATTTTTTAGTGTAAGTCTAGATTTAGTTCTTAGAAGATGCTTTTGAAGAAAGTGTTTTAGAATTTACACTTATAGAAAAGGCCATTTACAGACAAAATTTTGACTTAAAAAAACATTTTTGGTATAAAAAGTTGGCAAAATAAAGGCTAAAGTAATGTAACTATTAGTTTATTATATTTTTTCTGTAAAACAAGGGCAAAATTCTTCTTTTATATGTCAAAGTCTTAATTTAATTTGATTGTTTAAGTGGACCAAGAAGAACAATTCTAAGTCGATGAATAATTAAGTTGCATTCTCAGTATTTTGAAATATGTAATCGAAGATGAGAAATTTAAATAAACAAGGCTTAGCTTTCCAGAAAGTTTTTCATTGCCTTTGTCACAGTTGGTGTAAAAAAATAAAACTAAAAATAAAAAAGCATAAAAAATCGGAAAGTTTTCAGATTTTAAATTACTTCCAGAGGGGCGTTTTTGTCATTTTCTGTGAGTAAAAAATCTCTACTTTAATATTCACCAGAATACTTTCTCTTTTGAGAAGCGCCAAATCAGAGAGATCCAAGGAAATTTCTAATTCTGCGCACATATCAACTTTTTATAAATCACTTGTTAATTTTTATGTAAGTACTTTACAGTTAATAATTATAAAAAATAATTTAAAACAAAACTTTGCACTCGAATTGCTTCGAGTATCGCAAAAAGAGAATTATGTAACTGGCTGTATGTTTCACTGAACACTCAAAATATAGTTGTGGCTGCCAGTCATTTTTGCAGAGGACGCTTTGATAGTATGGAGAAGGTGTGATTGCATGCGATACGTATCGACTCGAACAATTTGTGACTGGCATGGGTTGACTCTTATTCTGGTATGATATTAACTCTTGACTAATATAATATTTACTCTTATTCCACTTTCTAAATGTGGACATTTATTCAATCTTAAAAATTTAATTATGTGATGTAAATTCAAATTTAACTATTTTTACATATTTATACACGGTGTACCATATTGCAACAAACTTCCAGAGGAGGTAGAGCACATCATGAGGATTAAGAATTGCATAGGAATCCATGCCCGGAAATATCAGCGGTAAGTGGTAGCAGAGGTAGAAGATGGGAAAAGAAACAAGAGTCATTAATTTGAAACGTTTATTGGACATGAATACAAACGGCGCACGACAGCTTGAATGTTACAACAGATGCTCGAAGTTTGCAACATCAGGCGCCAAACATGCAACAGATGCAACATCGACGGACCACTTATTGCCGACATGTTCAAATACACCGAGAGTTTCTTTCATTGTAGCAGCTGTGCAGGCGAGTCTTGTTACAAGATCTATTTCAGAAACAACAGGATCGTGATACATGACACTTTTGATGGCTTCCCTCAAAAAGAAATCAAGGCTCGATAAATCCGGTGAGCGTGGAGGGCCAAGGAACTGGTCCACAACGCTTAATCCATCGATGCAGAAATGATCTGTTCAAATGTCTACGAACATCGAGTCCAAAATAAGCAGGGACTCCATCATGTTGGAATCACATATTGCGCCTCATAGGAAATCGGGAAGAACCTGCTCCAGAAAGATCAAATAATTCGCGGCATTCAAATAGTCCGTGAGTGTCAGGCATGTTTGGCGTCTGATGGTGAAAGCTTCGAGCATCTGTTGTAACGTTCAAGCTGTCGTGCACCATTTGTATTCATGTCCAATAAATGTTTCAAATTAATCATTCTTGCTTCTTCTCCCACCTTCTACCTCTGCTACCACGTATCCCTGATATTTCCGGGTATAGGTTCCTATGTAATTCTTAATCCTTATGATTTGCCCTAGCTGACATAGAAGTTTGTCGCAACATTTACGGTACACCCTGTATATTTATTGTAACCATTTATATATTTATTCTAATAAATGCCTGGCTGATGGTAGACAGTATCCATCAATAGAGCATAAAAGCTCTCCAAGAGTCTAAACGATGGTGTGGCTGCTCTATTGATGGTCTCCTGTCTCCTCCCTCTTATGGGTTAGGCATAACAACGGATTACATTGCTTTGGAACATATTTTGATCAGCTAGGGTCACTTTTGAAATTCTTCCCGTGTATTCGATGAAAAACATAAACATTATAAGGTATTTTTCCCGCCTTCTTAGTGAGCCTTCGTGGTGTAGTCATCTGTACGCTGGGCGCGTATTCTAGAGGTCCGTGGTTCGACTCCCGGCTACAGCGTTGCTCATTTTTCACATCTTCTGCTTTAAAAAAAAAAAAAAAAAAAAAAAAAAAAAACATAATGTCTTATTAGTGACTCTCGAACTAAAAGGGTGGTGGATGATAATTCTGCACACACAGGATTTGGCGATTGGGTCCCCTAAAAACCCCGGTCGTCCTTTAAAAGGGGGAGCATATAAGGTATTTCTCCCGCCTTATTAGCATGCCTTCGTAGTGTAGTGGTATGCACGCTGGGCGCGTATTCCAGAGGTCCGTGGTTCGATTCTTGGTGAGGGCGTTGCTCATTTTTCATTTCTCCTGCTTCAAAAAAAAAAAAAAAAAAAAAAAAAAAAAAAAAAAAAAAAAATTACCTAATGTCTCTACAACATTTATCAGCATTTATTATAAAATACTGAAACAGGCGCCTGAAAACGTGACTGTGTGTTCACCTCAGTAAACTGACTGTTATATTATTCATTTCAAATAAACAGAGCGATAATAATTTTTTTAAAGGAAAACATTATTTTAATAGCTGCTGGTTCAGAATCATCAGACATATCCTTGAATGTTTCAAAAACTGTATTTTTTAGAAGGAAATCCTGTTTATGTTCTCCTCCTGAAGCAATGATTGGGAACCACTTTCCTAAGTGTTCGAATGAGGTGCGATCTTTGCCTACTGAGAGTATTTATTTGATCTCGAAATCCGCATTCTTGCTGTTGTAGATTCATTTTCCTGTGTGTTGATATGGATTCAAAAAATAATCGTTTGAAATTGGACTGGTTGAGTAACCCAACAATTTCATTTTTCAGAATGTGTATAATTAGAACGACCCGTTTTACTTTTTCAGGTTAAGTTATAAGCATCAGTCTGACAGGCTTATTAGATGAAGATAAAACATATATTTAAACTTCGGTAAACAATTAGGATTCATCCCATCAACTTCGCATGAAGTATCTACATCTCCCACGTCATTTTATCTGTCAAGGTCATTTTTGTGTATTTCATATCATGAAATGAAAATATGTTCTTTCATCCTCCCGCTCACCCACCGAACACAGCGAATGACCCGCGTAGGCGTAGTCAGCGCAATTCAATCTACTTTTAAAACATAGCATTGGGAGCTTACGTTTTACCCCTGTCTATTCAAGCTTGTTTAAGGAAAAGTTTTATTTACATGTAGCAGATCTTTTTGTTCCTAATTAGACATTTTTGGATATTGTTCTTAGATTTTGTAAATAGTTATTAAGAATTACTGTTTTTTTTAAGAATCTTTTATCATGTCAAGAGTTGTCGTTATTGCTACTACAGAGAATATAATTATGCGACAAATGACTTTGTGACCGAATTTATAAGAAATAAGGCATTTGAAAACCAGCTTATAAATTTCGTGTGTTTTTAATCTGTTAACAGATGCTATTTTCTGTCGTGTCACGACGCTAAATAATATTTCATCTGGGATGCAAGAAACCTTTTTTTTTTTTTTTTTTTTTATTCTTCTAGTCTTAGTGGCCCTAATGCAAGACGGCTTCACATATAAAAAAATCGCAAATTTTTTGGAGTAAGCTTTGAATAAACTATATTGATTTCGAGGGCGATTAGGCTCATCTTCAGAAACCCCTCCCCCAAATAAAATGCTCCAATTTCAATTTCTCAAAATTTTTTCTGCTCCTTCAGAGAAGCATCTGTCCCTAATTGCTGTCGAAATCGACAAAGTTTTATTCAAAACCTTTACCGATATAAGTTCGCTTTTATCTCTAATTTGAAGAAACATGTTCATTAAAGTAGGTAAAGTAAACTTAATTTATTTATTCCAGCACAGAATTAATTCTTAACTTTTAAGAATTATTAAATGAGTTAAATTATGCGTAATTTAGCACATAATATTTACTGCTCCATATAAACTTTTCATACTAACAAATGATAATTTTTTCAATCACTAAAATAATAATTGAATAACAAACTTTTAAGAATTATTAAATGAGTTAAATTATGAGTAATTTAGCATATAATATTTGCTGTTCCGTATAAACTTTTTTCATACTAGCAAATGATGAGTTTTTTCAATCACTAAAATATTTTGATGAATGAACTTTTAAGAATTATTAAATGAGTTAAATTATGAGTGATTTAGCACATAATATTTTCTGCTGCGCATAAACATTTTTTATATTAACAAATGATAACTATTTCAATCACTAAAATATTTTAATTTTTCTGTGCATTTGGTTTTGCTTAATTTAAGTGGGAATAAAAGAAAATTTTTGAGAGATAAAAATGGGTTAAGTTACGTATTGGAGCTATACAGAAGACTGGCTGATAATTTTGACATCACATATTTATCGTCGCTGTTTTAATGACTAACGAGCATTGCCGTATATGACGACTAGTTGCGCGCTTTCGGCAGTAGAGAGCAGCGGAGATGTTGACCTTCTGTCAAGTGGTAGACCACGGTCATCCCGCACTGACCAAAATGTTGAACATGTCAAGGTTAGCATTCAACAGACACGAAAACGTGTATTTCAGATTCTTGCGTCTGAAAGGTCACCGCGGAGAATTTTGAAAGATTTTGAGAATTTTTCCTTATAAAGTGCAGTTATTGAAGTAGTTGAAATCAACGGATGGCGGCGAATATGTGGCATGTCTATGAAAAACCTGACTTTCAGATACGCCAAAATTTGTAATTACTTCCAAGGCTGTGTCTAGGATTATAAAAAGTAAGAAATTGTTAAATGAACGATTATAAAAGTTGAAAAAGAATAAATTAATACTTCAAAAACCGCGAATGAAACTGTAGTAAAGAATTTACTGAAATGAAGCGTTATACTTGGATAAAATCGGGTAATTTTCGAAACCGTCGCTAGTCATTTCATCGACATGCAGTAGAACCTAAATAAAGTCAACAGCTTCTTGAGTTTGTGTAAATTATCTGTAATGAATTAATCAATTGCAAATGGCACCAAAGTAACATATAACTAAAAATCCACAGTATATTATTTAATAGGATTTAGGAACGGGGAAGACGGGCACCACACCTTTACCATTTGGTTAATTGGTTTAGCGCCGTCTCCCCACTACGTGATCCCAGCCGTTTATTGATGTTAGCAAACAGATACATAATTTGAATTGAATACAAAATTTGGAATGATACATAATTGAAATGAATACATAAATTGAAATGAATACATAATTTGGAATGATATTTAGTTTGAAATGTTAAAAAAAATGAAGCATTATGGATAAAATAGCATAATTATAAACGTACAGAATTTTGAATGTAATACAAAAATTTTAAACATAATATATGACATAACTCTTTAAAATATGTGCGGAATTTTGAACATAATATGCCACGAAAAGAAATAGTAGTGATGAAGAGTAGTTTGTAGTTCCAACAAAAATCTATAGTTCAAAGTCCATATTCAGAATTCACAGTTCAAAGTCTATAGTCCATATTCTATAGATGTAGTACAAAATCTATAGATCAAAGTCTGCAAGTTAATATATTTTTTTTATGTAATTTATGTATATTGCTCAAATTTGCAGATTTTGCAAGTCAGTAGGATGTAGTCGGCTCAGTAGGATAAGGTTCTTACATTCAGTAAAAAATTGTACAATACAAACTGGCTAAATAGTTGGGAGCTCGATACAGGCTAACGTGACAAATTCTTACTACATTAGATAAGTTCAAAATAAATAACTAACATGATGCCATCAAACTAACATTTACAATTTCTGGTATGGTAAAGAGTTGACAGAAATAATACAGTTGAACATATAGTACAATAGAACATAGTAACATAGTGTATTGATAATGCTAGATTTGTTGACTGGATGATAATGCATGCTAATGTAATATAAAAAGAAAAGCATACAACAATTATTTTCTTATAAACAAGTAGATAAATGAAAAATGCGTAAGAACAGTAGAAAATACAGTACAGTACAAACAAATCAACATGAAATTTGTATAAATGCTTGGCTCAAAATTCGATAGGTAAACAAGAACATATACAAATGCTATATGATATATAATATATACTTTTTAATTAAAAAGTTGACAGATACAGCGATAGATAGTACAATGCAATTAACTAACATGATGCCAAACTAACATTTACAGTTTCTGGTATGTTAAAAAGCTGACCTAACATATAGTACAATAGAACTTAGTAACATAGTATTCGGATAATGCTATACTTGTTGACTGAATGATAATGCTTGCTATTATAAAATTAAGGGAAAAAAAACAAGTATATTATTTAATAAAACATAAATAAAAAAACACATAATTCAGTTATTTTTAAAACAAACAAAGCACAATATACCAACATATAAGAATACAAAACTTGGCTTACCGAGCCAGGTAACAGAGTGACATATAAACGAACAGTGGGAATATCTAGTTTGTAACAGATATACATGAGCCATCACATACGTAGAAGAAATTCTAAAAACAATTTCAAGTATCTCTTAAGTTCGTGTCTTGGTTCAAGGGGGCTGTCAAAAGTTCTGATCTTACTCATCCTTTTTTGTTGTAGAAAATCTTCTACCGTGCCCTTACTTACTTAACACCAGCTGAGTTTCTGTACCGCCTGTTATATGACTGACTATCAGCATTTGTACTGAATTGGTGGAGCATTCTATTATCGCTAAGCCTAGCCAAAAATCTCTATAGAATATTAAAATTTAATTAAAAATTAAATAGATTTGTAGCTGAATTTATAAAGTTACTTCGGAAGATAGGCATTTGTGACCTGTGATTATTAAAGAGATTCTGTCAAGACTTTGACTGTGCTGAGTGGTTTTTTTTTTTTTTATTTTTAGGATTGCTTTCAGATTTTCGCAGTTCATTGCCAGGTAGTCTATGAGAGTATTAAGTTTGTTTCGTAGAAGCGTACTCTTTTGGAGTTGCTTCAGCCATAATTGGGCATTTTCAGCTGTGTACTGCCGGAAATGTAGGTCTTTGGTGATGTCACCTTCGAACATATAGTGATCGATGGTACCTGTTTACTGTGCTCTGGCCAGTTCTGTGAATGCAGTAAACCACTGCCGAATGCGGACTTTCGGAATGCGATTTTGCGTATAATCTAAGCGCTTAAGATTGCTTCTGATATTAGCAGAACCTTTGAAAGATTTTATAATTTTATTGTTCCATGAATAGTCATCTGAAGAACACGGCAGCTATTTTTTTTTCTCAGAAAAGAAATGATAATCAACCTTGTCCAGCTCATGGATCGAACCCCGGATCTGAAGTGCAGTGCGCAACACGCTAGCTGCTGCGCCTCTATGCCTTACAATAAATAATACATTTAGGTTTGTATGAATTATACCTACTTTCTTAATCTGAACTATACATCTTGTTGCAACCCCGTTGTTTGGCGCTGTGGCGCCGATTTATTCTCGCCAAGTATTTTAATGTAACCCTATACATTTTCTTTTATGTAGTACATTAGATTAGAATAGGTAAGGGTTTGAAGCCAGTCTCCGGCGCTATATCCAGATAGTTTTGATTTGAGCCGCGATTAAATCCTCGGTAATAATAATGATAATTTTGGAAATTTGTTAAGTTTAATTTGAAAGATTATTTTGATCCTGAACACGATTGATGAAAGCTTACCTTATGCATCTTCACCTTTGCTGGCGTCCGCGACAGGATGTTGGATGAGGTTTCTCCATACGCAGGCTTTGGTGATTGGGTCCCCTGAAAACCACAGTCTTCCTTTAAAAAGGGGAGTATATAAGGTATTTCTCCCGCTTTCCTAGCGTGCTTTCGTGGTGTAGTGGGTCTGCACGCTGGGCCGGTATTCCAGAGGTCCGTGGTTCGATTCCTGGCGAAGGCGTCTGCTAATTTTTCAGTTCTTCTTCTTTCAAAAATACCTAATGTCTCTACACACCTAACCCATTTTTTCGATAGAAACTTAATTTTGAGGAACACAGTTTTGCCGTACGAGCAGAGTTTACTGTTCACCAAAATAAGTCACGCCATATTATTAACTTGTTAGTATTTAACTCACAAACATAACAATTTAATAACTGACGTATTTGATATTATAGTACTTAATAAAGATAGAAAATAAGCATTATAATCATTGCAATGATACTTTCGTAGGCCAGTCATGGTTCCTTGAGTACGACAGAAATGTACAATTTAAGAAACTGTGGAATAGTTAGTAGAAACCGAGCAAATGCGTTTTTACTTCGCATAGAATTCTAGGTCAGAAACAAGTAAAAGAAAGAATATTAGATATTTTTAAGATAAAAAAGTGTTTTAAACTATTAATTAATGAGTGGATTTGTTTAAAATACTCTAATCAAGTAAACTCTTACCGATTTCGAAGCGGACTGGTGTAGGTCCTTCTTTAAGGCGCAAAAGAATTTTGGCTCTTGAAGATATCTTATATCTGGCACTGTTATGATATCTTATAAGATATCATAACAGTGCTATCTGGATATAAGATATCATAACAGTGGATATAAGATATCATAACATATAAGATATCATTATGATATATGATATCTTATATCTGGCACTGTTATGTGTCTTATATCTGGCACTGTTAAAATCTGTAATAAAACCTCCATTAATGTACAGTGCTTTTTCCCTTTTTTTTTTTTTTTTTTTTTTTTGTACAATTTTGTATGTTATACAATATTTATATGTTTTTTTAACAATATTTTAATATTTTGTTTCGGTAAACACGATTTAAATATAAAGATACTGGTTTCAGATTTTTTAGTTTGAGAAGAAGGCATTGAAAACAACAAAACAGTTTCATTTTATATAAAACTTTTGCCTGGATGTTCCTGTTCTAAGTTTTTGTACGAGTGTAATTGGATCATGGTTTGACGGCTGGAAATCTCTGTAAGAGTATATGCCGCCATCAATGAATATCACGGTTAACTTTTCTGGTAGGGAATCCTGTAGTGTGGTCCCCATCCCCTTATCTGAAGTGTTGAGTGCAAAGGAGGGTGTATGTTTTCTCTCTTCATCGAGTGGTCCCTAGAAAATGCCTAGCAGGCGAGCACTTAGCGGAGTGGCGTTGAAAAATAAACACCAGGAATTCTCTTGCCTGGATTTAATATGGATAACTTTGTTTTCTTCCAGGCTTTCTTTGTGTCTGTTTCCTTCCTTACAGAAACAAATAAAAGAGCTGTTTCAGTATTACTTGCGAAGTATGTTGAGATTTCAAGCATTCTGTTGTTCCTGTTTTCTGTTTAAATTACAGCGTTCCTCTCTTTTTTTTTTTTTTTTTTTTTAAATTTCTGTAGGTTAAGTGAAAGGGTAAATTCTGCATCACTTAAAATTACTCTTTGGGAGATAGAATGGTTGTTTAAGGTGTAGCTTAATTTAGTGCAATTTTAATGATAAGTATTTAGAGTTGGTTTGTAATGTTTACGCAAATTGGAATCATTTAAATTTTGTTCTGGAAATTCTATAGCTGCAAATTTTTCAGAAGGGGGGACCAAAGATTTTTTAATGATGTTTCATAGAGCATGCAGAGAATGTGCAGGATGTATTTTAATTTTATAATGGTTATTTTTAATTTTGAAACCCTTTCCTTTCAATTCTTGTTTTCTGTATCCAATTCCCTACCAGAATGAGTTTTTAGAACCACGTTCTAAAAATGTAAATGAAATAGAGTAAATGAAGTAGTAAATGTAAATGAAGTAGAGGGAGTATTTAAGGAAGGTTCAGCTTACCTCAGTAGGAGAGCTTAGGAGTCCTTAGTGGCGGCGCATGTTTGCTGACAGGCTATTTCGTTAGTAAACCTTATAAGGTATTTCTCCCGCCTTCTTAACATGCCTTCGTAGTGTAGTGGTCAGCACTCTGGCGCGTATTCCAGAGGACCGTGGTTTGATTCCCGGCTACGACATTGCTCATTTTTCATCTCTCCTGCTTAAAAAAAAAAAAAAAAACCTAATGTCTCTAAGGACTCTCGAGAGACCGCATATTTAAAGTTGCCCATGCCGCACAGACACTATAGATTTACTAACATCCATGCCTTCTGCGGGATTCGAACTCGGGCCTTTCGTTACGGTAGTCAGTGTCGTTAACCACTATCCCGGTTGGGCTGCTTTATATTTTATATTATTTGTCCTGCTATTATTTTTAAGTGCAAAAGTGACAGAGCTTGCGTAGTTGATTATGGGATGCATAATAGATTTAAATGGTTAGCACTGTATCGACAGCTGAAACGCTGTTTCATGTAGTTTTAAGTTTAGCAGTTTAAAACTTGCGATTATAATATAGCTATTAAACGAGCTTGTTGGGCTTTATCTGGATGTAAAATGGTAAGATAAAGGGATAGTTTCACTGTCATAGATCATATATAAATGAAATACATTTTTAAAGTCATGCTGTTATTATTATTTATTCAGTGATGTTACGGAACGCTTTTAGGTGATGAGCCGTTTTGTTCTCGCATAGCTTAAGAACGCAGTTCCTCCGTAAAAGTTTCATGTGAATAAGATAAGGATAATGTATGAGGTAGCGCAAAGTATAAACTTAAAGCTTAAAATATGAGCTTAGTTATTACTTGAAATTTCGCCCGGAATATTCATTGAATTTGCCAAAAGTGGTTTCTGAGTCTGAACATCGACGATCTTTGTTTTTGCACTAGATTTCGCCATCGCTAACTTAGAGAAAGCCTTTATTTCAACCTCAGAGGCCAAAGAGAATAACTTGTCCTGGAAAAATTAAAATATGAAAGAGCGTCTTTATTCCTTTGTCCATTCACTGGGCACTGACTGCGTCTTCTCCTTGTAAGCGTGAAAATCATGCATCCTAGTGTGTTTTCTCAGCTTGAATTCCGGGCTTAGATGGCGAGATATTTAGACGTCGAATAACAAATACGCCCTTGTTAAGAGTTGCTGTTACTGGTAATGACTTTTTTTTGGTTTTCAAAGCACTTACCCATTTTTAGGATCTCCGATTTCTGTCAAAATCTCCTCTGTTGCGATAGGTTACTCTTGAGCCGCAGACTAACATGCTGATATTCGATTCATTTCCAAAATTAGAATGACGTCATTATTCTTAGAAGTACAGATCTAAATTTAAACGTGAGGGTTCTTTTTAGTTTCAGTGATTTTTTATATAAATATGAATGTTTGGCAGCAGAGTTTTGCGGGAAAGACTACCAATAATAATTCGGCTTTATATCCGATCTGTTATGTATGAAGCCGTAAATACGCAAATTACCTGAAAGCAATGATTCTTTAAATAAACTTCGTAAGTACTCTACTATTATAAATTATTATCGGAAAACCAGTAACGACAGTATTTAATATATTAATTATAATCTCTAAATGAATAATATATTCAAAATATTTATTTATATGCAGATCTGTTGACGTATACGTATAGTTAAATGTAAATATTTATTGTAATTAATGTAATAATAATAAACATTCGAAAGCTTTCAGATTTTATATTACGCAGAAAGGGCATTTTCTTAGCGTTTTGTGTGTTTATGTGTAAATATATGTAGGCAATATAAAAGTGTTCGACGGCTTGTGTATAAATCAGTAATTACATCTTGCACGTAAATCAATAATGAAAAATATATGCGTTGAAATTTGATGTTCTTCACATACTTACATGTGCTGGCTTATTAAAAAATGTTTCACAACTATTTGTCAAGTAGGGCGCCTTAGTGATAACTTCCAGATACAGATTATCGCGGCATACAGGAGTTTGGTCCGTATTCTAAATTATAATTATTATATAGTTTGCAGAACATTTACAAGTTTTGCTTAAAAGCGTATCTAAATATCTGAATATCACAATAGTCTTGAAGAACGAGTTTGAATAAAGACTGATTTTGTTCTATTTACTAGTCCTAGATGCATTGTTTTTATTTAAGAAAAGTATATAAAGTGTAGAAACTAATTGTATTTAAATTTAGACACTAAAGCTGGATGTGAATTTTGTCGAAGTCGCATAAAAAGTCGATATTCTCATAAAATGTTTTAGAACTGAAACTAGATAAAAAAGAGTAATTATATTTAGGCTATTTTGTTATGAGTTATTTTGTCGCTTGATATTTGTAGAAGGCTATTTTGACGGATCATGATTTTTTTTTACTTATTGTAGAATGTAGTAATAATCATTAATATAACAGTTTAATGTTTGACTTCCATTTATTGCATTTTTGGTATTCTAAACTTAAATTAAGTATACGAAAGGGAAAGTAATGGGAACTAATCAGTATCAATATCGAGCATTTTGAATTTTGTTGAATTTTTAGTAGAGAAATTTTCAAGATTTGCACAAATTGTGATTAAGCTCTTATACGTAAGAGCAGTGCTGGTTTAAAAGAAAGTGGTGATATGTATCATACTATCCTTTTTTGACCCAAAAAGCCAATTTACCCAGAAGAGCTGTTAATTTCGGTTTGGCATTTTGCGTAGTCGACTATAAAACGGCTTTTCGCTTTTCAAATTGTTGCCAGCAAATATGAGAGCCCTGCATTATATTCAAAGAAATTAAAAATGAAGAATCTGCATGAATGTATGTATGTTTCTTGCACTGTGAAATAACAACGGTACCTAGAGACATCGAATTTTGAATAACATAGTACTCCACTCAAATATGGGCATCTGGAAGCCCAAATTTGAAATTTGTTTTATTATTTATTTCATTTCTTGTAAAACTTAAACGAATTTTTGATTAACAAACTCAACGATTTTAAAGCTAGTAATGGCAACAGCGTGCGAAAGAAAAAGCATTTTTAATCTCCAGCGCGCGAGACTGTGTATCGAAAACTGTACAGATATGTTCTTTATAAATTATTTTGCGATATTGCTGTTGAATTGAAATTTATGGTTTAAACGAGAAGAACGTGATTCTGAATAAAAAAGTTGACACACAAAACGTTAAAAAAACGCCCGTAATGTCAAATCTGAAAAACTGTCAGTTTTGTTTTGTTTTTGTTTTTTATTTTTTGGTCATTGCCAAATTTTTATTTTATTTTCCTTTCTAATCCACAATAAAATGTGGCTTGTTTTTATTTAGGCTTCCAGGAATGTGTCCAAATGCGGGTATCTTTTCGTTGCTCCTGATTGGGATTTCAATGTCTCCATCAACAGAACAAAGGTTGGTGTCAGTTTTCTTTTCAAGTGTACAAATGAAAATACTTTTAAGTTTCAAAGTTACCTGACTTCCTGTATTGGAAACGAGAAACGATTTCATTCATTTTTTTCTTTCTTTCTCAGAGATGGCAACGAAGGTGGTTTGTCCTGTACGATGACGGTGAACTCACCTATGCCCTGGATGAGTTCGTAAGTTGTTTACGTTTTTATTCCAATATAATTAAAGTGTGAATGACTTTTCTTTCTCAATTAAGTCTTCAAGACACTTTAGAGAAATGGTGTCTTATTTCGTGACTACGAGTACTCTGAAACCTTATTTTATTTTGGAGGTAATATTCTAGAATGAAATTTTAAAGCAAAAATTAAAAATGACAGTTAAAGATGAAACTTTAAAGCGTATTTATTTTATATTCTTCATTATTAAGTATGGCATCAGTTCCATTTCATCTGGCATGTATGTAATACTTTGGATTACATGATAGATCTTTCTTATTTATTTCATCTCAAATATATAAACCTTTAAAACTCTATGAATTGCAAACAGCATGTTGTGCAATTTTTAAAGTTGTTACATACCCCGTATAAACCTCATAAATCAGAATCATGAACTTAAGAAAACACACAGCTTTTGAAAATATATGTTTATCATACGAACATTTTCATTTAGCAAGTCAGTTCATTCTCTAGAAGTGACAAGGGTAACAACTCATAACTTAGCGCAAACGCAAACTGCCGTTATGAACTTTGATTCAGTTCTTCACTGTTAAGCAGTATATATTCTCTTTCAAAATAAAAATAAACTAATATGTGTTAGGAATCAATAAAAATTCACGCTTAAAGGTGAGACTTTTATCGGTTTTCTTTGCTCTGATAAAGGAAAAATCTCATGCGGATTTCTTTGTACGGAATATTAAATTATACACCATTTTTCTGCTTTTCATTTAAACTTATTTCCTCGAATTTCATTACAGATATAGTTCTCGTTCTAGTAATTCAGTTCTCACTTCGCGGCAAGGCAAAAAATACACAAAACCTCAAAATATCGTCATTAAAATTTCTTAAAATAATTACAATTAAAATCAAATTTTCTACGCAAAAACAAGCAATTCCACCAACGGGCAAGAAGGCAGATTTTTCGCTGCACAAAACTGAAAGTTTACTTTTGATGCCACTCCGAAAAAAAAAAAAAAAAAAAAAAAAAAAACCCATAAGGTGCAGAAACTGACTTAATTCACTATTATGCTAAGTTTCAAATGCAAAAAAATATGACTGCTAAGTTAGGTTTAACCGCATTTAAACAACAATTGAATTATTGATAATTTTACAACTATTGCATGCAGATTAATTAAAGATATAAAAACTTTAATCGGAACATAGGAACAAAATAAATCAGTCATTTTTAAAGCAGAAAATATACCATTTACGAACATATAAGAATTAAAAAAAAAAAAAAAAAAACTGAGTTCACCGAGCGTGGATAACATAAGTAACAGCGTGGATGTATATATTTAAATACTTTTGGTGCTGCCGATTGCAACCAAAGAGAAAGATACACAACTACATGTTATAGCAGTCCTATATGCAAAATTTCAACGTTCTGAGGCTACTTGTTTTTGAGTTATACATGCATACATATACGTACGTACGTACAGACGTATATGAACGTCTGTACGAAAAAATCTCTTCTGATTCTAATTTAAATCCACAATTTTGGGAAAAAGAGTCCTTTATTCTGTCCTTACGTACAGATATCACTCAAAAACATCGTTTAATTGCATTCGATAGCGGTCAACATGGATATTTTCGTTGAAATATGATACCTGAAATTTTTCGCGATTACAATACTTCCTTTACTTCATACAAGTAAGTAAAAATGAGGTATTATTTACGATATTTGCGGTAATTAACGTTAAAAGTATTTTAAAACTGTGTGAAAGTGAAATTTTACTGGGATACTTTCAGTTATATTTTAGTATAATTCTTTAAAGTTCGAAATGATATTCCGAACCACTAATCAGAATTTAACTTATTCAATTAAAACTTTTAACAACGATGTACATTTTATGTTTATCATTGGTGGCAATGTATTATATTATTTCTTGTATTGTATCGTGCTGAAACGAAGTATTGAAAATAAAGCTTAATTTTTTATGACATATTTTCATTTCGTTTTTCAATCACATTAACTGAAAACTGAATAGAATTTCGCTCATCTCATTGAATAGCCTGACACGATTCCACAAGGAACAATTGACATGAACAAAGTTTTAGATGTATCCGATGCTGAGAGTATTACTGGAAATGACTTTGCCATCGCAATCACTACTCCGGATAAAGTGCATTTCATTAAGGGTACTTCTAAGGAAGAAAGTAAATGGTAAGGTAGTTGTTCTTAATATTAAAATAATTCAAATTTATTATAGGCAATTATTTTTCAAAATTATTATAAATTTATTATTATTTAAAATATATTTTCTCTTTGAGTACAGGCGGAGAAGTCTTTTGCTTATATTTTTCATCAAGTGTTTTCAGAAATTTATGGTGATATTCAACATACAAGTAAACCCTTGATGAAAGCGGATTTTGCATATACACGTTACCTTAATTGTTTTCATTTTATTTATCCACCGCTAGAATTTCATTTATACTCGGTTCAACTTTCATTCATCAACTCCGAATGGTTTCTGGCATCAGCTCTGCCCATAAGTTATCAACAGATTTAAAGGATTTGCGTGGAATGGAAATAAAGCTAAAGATATTTTACAAAAGCAACTGACGGCGAAAGATTTTCAGGTATGGAGGTGTGTGTATGTGTGTATTTAATTATAGCAAAGCACACGAGGGCTATCTGCCAAAGGGGAGGGATGCCTTTCGTGGAGGACTTTCTAAGGGAAACTGGCTCGTATACACGTTACACCTGGGGAAAACCACGAAAACGCCCATGCAGCCAGCCCGTTCGCGGGATTCGAACCTCGGACCGAACTACCAGTGTTCAGCGACTTTACCGCTCGGCCGCTGGTGGGCTTTCAGGTATGGAGGAATGGAGGAAAGAGAAGTCAAAGAATTAATCGAGAATGATGAAGGAAAAGCGTTAATACCAGCGGACAACGTCAGTAGTGATACTGCAGAAAGAGATAAATCGCTGTAATTTAAAAGAAGTTAAACGAATTGTTAAAAGAAGCGGAGATACTGTCTGATTTGCCACGGAGACTGACTCAAACGGAGAAAGCAGAGGATACTTTAATAAGAGGCACTAAAAAGATCTGCGTATAGTGGTTAGCCTCGCTGACTTTGCCGTGCCGAAGGGCCCAGGTTCGAATCCCGGAGAAGGCTGGATGTTTGTAAATGTATAAGGTCCGTACGGCATGGGGCCTTTCTAAATATGTGGCGAGCCAAAAGTCCTCTCGAGAGGCTATTGGCAGGGGAAGAAAGGTGAAAAACACTCGGACTGTCCCCCCTGCGTGCTGTCCAGCAAAACTGGTTAAATTTGCAGATAGCGATTTTGTTGTACCCTCCGTGTATTAGTGACGTAAACCTGCGTTCTGCAAGGGTTAGCTGTACACATGCATAGCTTTTTCGTTTGTTGAAACTTAGATTTTATCAGCCAGGCTCTGTGCAAAGGCTTTTCGCACATTTATTAGACGATTCTGTAGGGGGGGGAAACGTCTTCTAGGTGGGTTATATATATATATATATATATATATATATATATATTATATATATTATATATATACTGCAGTTATATATTTTTAAAGTATTAATAACCATCTGCTATTTGACATTTTTGTTTTGTATAGACGTTAGGTATTTTTGAAGCAGGAAGTATGAAAAAGGAGCAGTGCCCTAGCCGGGACTCGAACCACGGATCTCTCAAATACGCGCCGAGTTTGCTGGCCATTACACCACGAAATCATGCTAAGAAGGTGGAAAAAATACATTATACGAGGTTTTAAAGAAACAATGGATGGAAGGCGACGTCTGTGCTCTTTGCGAAGGAAATTATTCATATCTAGTAATTAAAAACACTGTAAAAGCCACGGTTTCTCGATCTCTAAAGCTACGATGTTGTCCACAAAAGAGGGGGGGGACCGTCTAAATTTGGCTTCAAGTGGAAAAAATATTCCAAATACGTATCCAAGGGAAAAAACATAAATGTTTCGAATTTTGCAAAGGTAAGATCTTTAATGTTAAAAGAAATTCCGTCAAGTCAAAGGACAGCAGCAAAATTATTAAAATGCTCACCGTCGAAACGTGAATATACACTCACATAAACGAAGTGATTAATGCTGTTTTGAATCTTAAAAAGGCGAAAATCATAATGTGCGTCGTCTTTCTCTACGGTATATCGACGAATGCAGAACGCGCTGCGAAATTCTTTATGAGACACAGTTATCCTGACAAAAATGAAAAATGTTGTCACGATAGAATGAAACAGTTGTCACAATAGAATGAAACAGTTGTCACAATAGAATGTTGTCACAACGAATCTTGGTTGTATCTGAATGACTGAAATAAAAAAAGATTCATTATTATCGTCAAAGAGGAGTCTGAAAATCTTAAAAATCTTAAAACATGGTTCAAAGAATCTAAAAGTTTTTCAAAGGAATTTATGATTGTTGTTGGTTTTTCTTAGAACAGCAAATCAAAACTAAAGAGAGTGACGAGAAATGTTAAAATCAATTCCACATATTATCCAGAACATAAATGATACCCAGTTTTTCAAATATGAAATACCTTCTCTTTATCCACGGTGCCATCAATCAATAGAACTGCAAAGACAAAGGAAGCAGCCACACGTCAGAATCCACTGTTAATTTCTTGGGAAAAATTGAACAAGGAATGGGGATCAAGCTCCTGCTGTTCGCTCATATCCTTGCTAAATATTCTGATATATCACCTATGAATTTTTGTGCTTTTAGACTTTTAAAAGGTGGGTTGTCCAAACGTCGACCTACAACCCACCTTGGAATCTGGAAGAGCTGTTCAAGAGGATTGGGATAAAAATACCTGTTCGGGTATTACAATAGGTAAAATTATCAGCTATTTCTTCCGCTTTCTTGGCGTGCTCATTTTTCATCTTGCCGGCTTTCAAAAATCCTAATGTCTCTACAGTGGCGCCCGAACTAAAAGGGTTGTGGATGATGAATCTCCACACCCAGGATTTGGCGATTGGTTCCCCTCAAAACCCCAGTAGCCCTTTAAAAGGGGGAGTATATAAGGTATTTCTCCCGCTTTCTTGGCGTGCCTTCGTGCTGTAGTGGTTCTGCACGGTGTGCCGGTATTCCAGAGGTCCGTGGTTTCGATTCCCGGCGAAGGCCATTGCTCGTTTTTCATCTTGCCTACTTCCAAAAAAATACCTAATGTTTCTACAAAATATTTCTGTGGATACAATGCAAATCGTCTAAATGCACAATAGTCCAGCGGTTCTCAACCTTTTGCCTAAAGCGTACCATCTAAACAAAAATTGAAAACCTTAAGTATCACCACTACAAAGTACTACTACACTAGCACTCTTAAACAAAGCTCACATCGCATAAATTTACGAGTGTTAGAGATTTCTATGTTAGAGAAAAAAACTCAATTAGGATGTTGGGGTTTTAATTTTTGAATTTATTAGTTAAAAATATTTTGCTACTTTGCGTACCACCTATTTTTCTCTTGCGTACCAGCAGTTGAAAACCTTTGGTCTAGTCTTTGCACGTCTAATCGTCGTTCCACAATGGCCATACTTCCAATGCGCCAGGGCAATAAATGGTGCTTATATACTTTTCTTTCGTGAATTTACGAAGCGTGATAATGTCCGATTTTACTTTGCAAGAACAGGATTTTCTTTTAGGCGTTTTAGCGTTAAGTTTCTGTGTTGAGGTGTAAAAAGGTGTAAACGGAAATTGTTTCTAAAGTGTATTATATCTTTTAAAATAATAAAAGACTAAATAAGTTTTCTTGTGTTCTGTAGGTGGTTCGACGTGCTATCGCGAGTGCTACCTCGACATTTATCAAGAGGTAAACACAAAAGGAATGCCACATTTCCCTGCGGAAAAGCTACGATTCCATCTCCGGCAGTCATTGCACAGGTAATGAACACCTCGTTGCATTTCCTCCATTTGAAATGTGCAGCTTCAAGGCGAATAGAAAAATATGCCATATAAAATGTATGAAGCTAGACTTTAAAATTCAATAGATGTCAGCTGATAGCGTTATGTTCTTAGAAGTTAAAAAAGAAAATTATTTGTAAATAATAAGGATTTACAATACTAATACAAATTAAACTTAGACATGTTTTCTTAGTTTACATCTTGTGCATTTTTTGGAAAAATTCAGTAACTATTGGAGTTTAACTACAACATAAAACGTCTTTTGAAGACTCATAAAAGCGATGTGTAGATTCATTTAATTTATCTAGCAATTAATTTTGATTTTAGAGCAGCTTTCCTTTGATTCTTATTTTCACCCACGATTTCTCAGCAGAATATTAAAAAACTAGCGCGCGTGTATTCAAATGAGGTATAGAGAAGAAGTACTTAAGGGTAGGTTTGGAAGGGGATTTTTAGAGCGTGTTACGCCTGCTTGAAGAACTTGTTGCTGTCTTTGATTGCTAGCGATGAGATATCTGTGGAGATGAATGCTTCTAGCCATTCGACTTGTTTAAGCCGACATTTACGAGTCAGAGCCTTCCTGCGCGTTAAATTATTCTGTGAGCCGTTAGGCTAAACTTACTATATTTAAGTTCATAAATACCTATGTGAGTTAAGCGAGAAATGTTGGCTTTTCCATAGGCTCGAGTGGGACCATCTGTAAGCTTATATTAAGTGAATAAAGCGTTCTTCTTCGGACTTGTTTGTACGTACTTAAGACTTAGAGATAATTCTTAACACAGTCTTCTAGGTCTCGTTAGTTTTTCATACCCAAGTCTTCGTTATGGCATATCTGTGGCTTCTTCCCGAAAACAGTTTAAAGAGATGTTAAAAAAGCGTGTTTTGTTTCTAAGCAGTTAAATCAAAGCTGTCTTATCGAAAGCCCAGACACAGGTTATTCATAAATCCGTGAAATAATTTTAAAATTCGTACCAAATAAACTATGCAACCGATCACGGGTAGGAAGACACGAATTACCATGCAGATCAGGCATATCAGACTCGAGACCCTTAATTCATTTTTCTGCAGCCCTCGATTCACGCTCCTTCCCCAGGAAAAAAAAATTATGAATTACGTTAATAACTACCACATAATTTCCTTGTACGGCCTATCAAATTATATACATTTTTTCCTGTATATTTCGTTTAAACGTATTTCCCCGAATTTCATTAAAGATGTATTTCTCATTCAATTTATTCATTTCTCACTTCGCGGTAAGGCAAAAATACATAAAAACTCAAAACATCCTCATTAAAAATTGTAAAATACAGAAAACATAAAAAACCAAATACAGTTTTTAAAAAGTTTTAACAAAATTTACAATTAAGATCAAAGTTTCTACGCAAAAACAAGCAATTCGGCCAGCACGCAGGAAAACAGACTTTTCGGTGCACAAAACCAAAGATTTACTCTTAGTCCTACTCTGCAAAAAGACACTGACGCTGGTGCACTAACTGACTTAATTCACTATTCTGCTAAGAGTTTCGAGTGTAAACAAATGGCGGCCTCGTTGGGCTTAGTACTATTTAAACAACTTTTAAATTGTTCATAATTCTACAGCTGCGGCATGCAGATTAGCTAAAGGCATAAAAACCTTAACCAGAACATCAAGAACAACATAATTCAATTACTTTTAAATAAAAAATGGTGCCCAATTTACAAACAGGGTGGGAGTGTGTATGTATATATATATAATAGAAATGATTTTATATTTGTCTTTATAAAAAAAATTTCTGTTTATATATATATTGTTACATTATTTTCTTCCTTTACGTTCGTACGGGGTTTGAAGATTTTCTGCCCCTTGCTTTAAAAATTATCAAAGCAGCTTAAATAAGAATACAGTAAACGAAACAGCAAATACAGTTTTTAAATTCGTAATTAAAATGCAGAACAAGACTTCTTAGAATTTGAAAATGCGGGGGGGGGGGGAGGGGGGGGGGGGGGGGAAGGGGGGGGGGGGGGGGGGGGGGGTGGGGGGGGGGGGGAAAAAGAGACTTCGGTGCAGGGGGGGGGGGGGGGGGCGGGGGGGGGGGGGTGGAAAAATTTTAATACTTGATTCCTAACCGACAAATAAAAACTAAGCTTATTACTATTAAACAACTTTTGTGTATCAAATTATTACATTTATTTGGGCATAGTTACTATTGTTCTTACTTTTCCCAAATTTCAGAAAAGATTAACTCAAACATTAAAACTTAAAGGTGCATAAAAACTACTTAAAAACATCCTCGGGGGGAATAATAATAAAACATAGGGTTAAAGCACTTGTTGCTGAGTTTATATTTAGACATAATAAAATTTTTATAAACAATAAATATTTCAAATTTATTTTCTGCCATTTACGGTACTTTTTTTTCGTCCATCTGTGATGGGATATGACACTGGAGGTGCATAAATTACTATTTGAAGAAATTCGCAAGTTTTATGCGGCGTCGGGGTCGAACTGCTTAAACACTTTTTTTACTCAGCGTCACTGCGGCTGCTTAAACAGTGGGACAACTTTAACAGCAAAGAACAACATACTGCAAAAACACGGCACATCTTCTTCTGCAAAATTCTCCCCTCGGAGTCGCTCTCCCGCTAAAACGTTTATAAACTTAGCTCGTACTCAGCAAAAGTCTAAAACAAAATTCGACTTGATAACAAGATTTTGTCCCTCTATTCCTCGACACGAAAACCACTAAAACGGCGCGAGCAGACGTCGAGACACTCGCTCAATACTGACACAGCTCGCTAGATGAGGTTCATTTAGCGACGCTCCGCACAAGGGACTCAGCTTATGATGAGTGCGTCTGGTTACTAAGGCTTAACTAAGAATACACCGTACAGTTTAATTCTGGGGCTTGTGTCTCTCGTTCTCCACTCTGGCACATGATTATAACACACCTAAAATCCCAGATGCCATTCTCCCTCATCTCCGTCAACCGGCTCGTTTCCTCGCGTTCAAATGAAATTCTGCGCTCAAACCCTCCCATTTCTCAATGTTCGCCACATTTCAAATCGCCAAATTTAATGCATTCCCTCATTCCCTTGCCATTTTATGGCAAACCTATAACTGTTTTGCAGGGAAGCCATCTTACCGCGCCTGTGCATTTCGTTACTATATATATATATGTAATATTTTAATGCAATCGTAGTGACTGAGGGTGAAGGCTTGATGAAGCAGCTAACAAAACTGAATTGAAGAACCACCATCTTTATTTTTTCACATCTCAAATGATCTCTTTGGTAGACAAATTACTTTTCAATCATCGATGAAGACAATAAATTTTTATGTACACTGGTTTAAAAGCTAGACGTAAGCATCTTAAACAGCATCAGCGGTGCAGAGTTGTTTGCATGACAGAAATCAGGAAAAATGGAAGGCGTCATTGCTCGTGACTCAATATTCATACTACGTAGGTGCATACGTGAAGCTAAGCCGTGATTGGTTAATTTTAGTTTTAGTTTCCTTTTTCAAATAGCTTTTTCTAATATGGAAAGATCTCGAATTTGGGAGAAGGGATAGTCAATTTTAAGGTCGACAATTTTTTCTTAACATAGCCATCGTATTTTATTATATCTTACATTTATATATATATGTACTTTTGGTGAAGCGGATTGTAGCCAAAATGGGAGATGCACAACTACGTGATATAGCAGTCCCATATTCAAAATTTCAACGTTCTGGAGATACTCATTTTTGCTTTATGCGAGATACATGCATGCATATGTACGGACGTACGTACCGATGTCAGACAAAAGCATCCTTGAAATGGATTCGAGAGCGGTCAAAATGAATATCTGCGTTGAAATATGACACCCGAAATATTTCGCGATTACAGTATTTCCTTTACTTCGTACAAGGAAGTAACTATATTTTCATCATTGGTAGGATGCATTTTAGTATTACGTTATTAGCTGGAAAAAACATATTTTGAAATTAATTTGCTAGTTTTCTTTTTGGATTTTTTGAAGAGCAGCTCCTGATTGATACAGAAATATTCCTGAAGTAAAAGTTAAATGTTGGCAAATTTAAAATAACTCTTCATCATGCGAATTCATATTAGTACGCAAAAGGAAAATTTATTTTAATGTTACTAATAATAACGTTATGAATAACTGTTATGCTAAAGAAAGGAATATATTTAGTAAGTACCCGTACATTTTTAATAGATTATTAAAGCGTATTTTGTAGAATGCTTTAAATAAAATTAATTAGCTTACATAACTCGTGAGACAAACTTCCAAAGTAAGTGAAATGGCTTTCTGTAAGATTAAGGATAGGTGGCGAAATAATGCCTATTGATTATATTAGATGAGAAGATGAGTATTCGAAGTATAGATTATGAAAGTAACAAGTCGATTCTATTCTTAGCACTGTGTGCATTAAAAAGGCGTAGACAGCATAGCTAACTAATAGAAAAATGATACCAAAATTGCAAGAGTCGAGGTAACTAGACGAAATTTTAAGCTGCAACCAAGATGCTTTTGAAAATTAAAATAGTTATTTATTGATTCGCAAGGCTTATATTTTTGTTTTTTTGTGTTTCAACAGGATTACTGCAGTGAGGACGATATAAGGCTCGGCAGTTTTTCGAGGCCGAAATTTCTCAGCTCTTCAGAAATTCATCGTAGTGATGAGAAGGCTTGGTTCCCATCGCCGGATGGAGACCTGGAGGAGGATGTATTTCCTGCCGAAGAAGATAACGTGCATTTGCATCTCAAGGACACAAACTCAGAGAACAACAAAGATGTTGAGATGCATAATGCTCTAAATCAGTTAATATCGCTGTCAGAATCCAAGAACGGCGATGATGATGGTAAGTTCTTTCTAAATGTTGTACTTCCCTTTCCGATTTTTGTGGATGTTAAAACTGATTTTTTGTGCTTAAGGAAAACATCAAATCTGCTGCAGGTACTTTAGGTCAAGTTGTAATGTTTTTCTCCCTCCTTACCATTTTATTTCCCTTTCGGATTTGGAATTTTGTTCATGGGAAATCATCAAATCTGCTGCAGGCACTTTAGAACAGAAGTTGTAACGTTTTTCCTCCTCCTTCCCATCCGATTTTTTTTAAATTTCCCATTCCGATTCCCTTTCCGATTTTGAGCATGGAAACTTTATCATTCAAATTCTGCTTTGCAGGTACTTTAGGTCAAGTTGTAATGTTTTTCTCCCTCCTTACCATTTTATTTCCCTTTCGTATTTTTGTTCATGGGAAAACATTAAATCTGCTGCAGGTACTTCAAACCAAGTTGTAATGTTTTTCTCCCTCCTTAACATTTTATTTCCCTTTTGGATTTTTGTTTATGGGAAAACATTAAATCTGCTGCAGGTATTTTAGGTCAAGTTGTTATGATTTTCTTCCTCCTTGCTTCGTGCCTTCGTGGTGTAACTGAAATGTACGCCCGGCTAGCAGATCGGAAAGTTCGGAGCACGAGCACAGCTTGTTTTTCACGTTTTCTTTCGCGATTAAAGCGTTTAATAACTTTACAATGTTTTCTAGATAGCCTTTTCCCAAAAATTTGGATCACGTTTTTGGTCCTGTAAGATCATACATAAAATTTGCTACATAAAAAAATATGAGTTTATTTTATTTTATTTTTATCTTTTCTAGTTACAGAGAAAAAAATAGCTTATTATAAGATCATTTGACTGAACAGATGTTGGTTACCAGAAACAACTTTTATTTATGCATTTATTTTAAAATAAAGTGAAATGGCTGTAAACCGCAGCCGTAAAGTGTAGGCATTTGCTTTTATAACGGTATCGAATATTAAAACGCTACTGAATATAAAGAAATTCACTGTCTGCTTTTTTGTTTTTAGTCAAAGAACTACTGAAATTGTGTAAAGCCAGTTTTCTTCGGAATTTTTATATTTTGATGCTCGTAGTCATTTAAATTTCCAAATTTGCATTTCAGAAGCAAGTAATGCAAAAATAATGAACGTTTTCTACAAAAAATATACACATGCTACTTTTTTTAGTCACTGGATTATTTTTATAGGTAAACATCAACTTGTAGAGACATTAGGTATTTTTTTAAAGCAGGAGAGATGAAAAATAACAATACCCTCGCCGGGACTCGAACCACGGACCTCTCGAAAACGCGCCGAGTGTGCTGACCACTACACCACGAAGGCATGCTAAGAAGGTGGGAGAAGTACCTTATATACTGCTCTTTTTAAAGGGCTACTGGGGATTAGGAGACCCAGTCGCCAAATCTTGGTGGTGGAGAATCATCATCCACCGACCTTTTATTTCGGGAACCACTGTAGATTTATTAGGTATTTTTTACGCAGGGAAGAAAAATAACGAGCAATGCCCTCGCCGGGACTCAAACCAGGGACCTCTCGAATATGCGCCGAGAGTGCTGACCACTACACCACGAAGACATGCTAAGAAGACGGAAGAAATACCTTGTAATTTTAGCGTCTTCTTTCTGTTTCGTGAAAACCAATACAGAATTAGTAATTTTATGCTGATAAATGATGTATGATATTGGCTGGAGAACCTAATATCATATTGATTAATAAGATAAGGTATCGTAATAGCATTTAACCGATAATAATGCCATATTAAACAAGGAAACTTCTTTTATTAGTGAACGTATGAGTATTGCTTGTTTTCGAAAGTCCTTTTTGTTACGTTAGAACACCTGGAACGGCAGGACACATATACGAGTAGATACTGCTCCCTTTTTCCTATATATATTATTTATTATTATTATATTGATGCATATATTTGCTAGAATTGATAAATATTGCATTTAAATATTATATCACTTTCGTTTTAGAAAACCTTTGATCTTTCAAGAGTAGTATTTTGACTGTTTCTTTATCCGTCTTATCTAATTCATGACGTAGCACCAGATAAATGTAACTGGTTTTGTCATTAATGCGGTCTTACTTTTGTTACAGAACGCAATTTTTATGTACCTAAACTGTAACTATCTTGTCATTGTTATTAAGGCTTTTCTCACCAAAATTCTAGCATGTTCGCTCTTAGAATGTATCTATACATAATTCTCTTCATCAGACACACGTGTTATTTGTTCGTGAAGAGTAATGAAGAATTTCCATAAAAAGTGTACGTGGTTTCATTTATACACATACGACTTCAATCTGTACCAAAGTGACATCCATCCATCTTTATCATCTGTATATATATTCGTTGCTTTCCCGACGATATTTATGGGTTTTACTGTGTGGATTATTTTCACATGTGCACAACTGTAAAGTCAGTAGGACTTTTTAAATCAGAAAGGTGAAAAATGAGCAGTGTCTTCTCGAACCTGGATCTCTCGAATACGCGCCGATTGTGCTAACCGTTGCACAACGAAAGTATGCTGGAAGGAGAGAGAAAATACTACAGTATGACTGCAGGATTTTACTGTAACATTCTAAAGTTCTGAGGGATGGCATTCGATACAAGTGGGTGAGTTTTTCAGGCATCAACATCATGATCATCAGTCGTCAAACCTTATGCTCTCACCAGGTTCTTTTCCAAACTGAAATTTAAGCTGAAAAGTCCGTTTTTTAACACCATAGATTTATCGAGAATCGCACATGGCTCTTGACTAACTAGAAGATTGACACTTTCTGGAAGTGTCCGAACAGTGGTCTGCTTTGAAAGAGATCTTGTCCAAATTTAAATACAGCAAGTTTGTTTACTGCATCTTGTTTTGAAACTCTTGGATTTCACCTATAACTGTATACTGTTGGGCACGCTAGCACTAGAGATACTTCTCCTGTAAGAACCCAGCTTTTGCTCTCATAAAAGTTTTGTAATATATTCATGTAAGAAATTTTCTGTGTGTAATCATTCGCAGATTGTAACAATTGTGGTATTATAAGGTATTTCTCCCTCCTTCTTAGCATGCCTTCGTTATGTAATGGTCAGCACGCTCGGCGCGTATTCGAGGGGCCCGTGGTTCGAGTCCCGGCGAAGACATTGCTCGACATGATTATCACGATGGCAGAAAGAGACAGGAAGCTTTACTTACATCTTCCCAATACCTACTCTCAAGAGGCTCAAATGCAACCGACTCTTCCTCCAGGCCTGTACCAACCACGGGAAATTCTCAGCGTATTACAGACGATTCTTCAGACGGGACGTCAACTGTTCTTGCGGTTTTCGCGTGGAAGACGCAGTCCTATCCCCTGACAACTAAGACTAGAACTACACCCCCATTGTGCAAAATTACTTGTATATTAGGGAATTACGGTGTAGTCTAGGAGGTATAAACTACTACCCTCACGAGCGCGCAGCCGCGGCGCCGGGAACTAAACAGACTGTAGCCGAGTCTATAGCTATCGCCACTGACTCTAGAAAGACCGTACAAAACGAAAAAGTGGACCAGGCCAGACAGGGGGCCCCAAGACGTACAACCTCAACGCATACCAAACGGCGGCTTATGCGAGATTTTAGTGAAATCCCAGGAAAATATATAAAATGAAGGTTCACTTGTAACCACGGTATAAAAACAAACTAACCATTAAAGTTAGCTGTCATAACCGTGGGGCCTATGCGTCACTAAAATGACGAGCCACCATTTGATACCTTTTACAGGCCGGACACTGAGTTGCCAGCCCACTCATTCACGAACTGTAGAAATTAGGCCCATTCAACAAAAATCAGCATCTGCATTCCCAGTGGGCATGTGGGATTCGTCAGCAAATGTGGTATTCTGAACCCGTCCGTAAGATTCGAGACACACTCACTTATATAGCAGATTTGGCTTTTGCATCGTTAGGACGACGAGCCACCAATTGAAACCTATGGCTATAGCTTCGTTAAAATGACTAGCCACTAATTGAAACTTAACACTGCGAGAAGGGCCTAGTCTGCACTCGCTAACAGGACCCGTGACCCCTCATCGCAGCACCTTCCTCGCCCGAACATAGTTAGCCCTGGTTGAGTAGCACGCCTCAACTAGGTTACGTAGTGGCGCCACAAAGAGTCCTATGTCCGAGCTAGAGTAGCGAGAGGCTTTATATTCGCATCATCCACATTATAGCTTCGCCAACCCTTCAGATTCGCAACAGTCAGGCTCCAAGTCGCCTTCCACTATGTGGCCGGATCCGGACTACCCATCTGAACCTTATCATTAAGGAGGCTCGGCTATTTGCTACCTGCCCTCTGACACAGCACCTTCGACAGCAGTTCTTTCCTTCCGACTACATCACATATTCTGTGAATTGACTGTTCACGGACTATTACTGCAACAAGAGCATCTCACAGATAATGAAGCAAGTGAATGAAAATAATTTTATCCAAGAAACTAAAGATAAATGTAAAATGTAGAAAGGCGGCCTAACCGTCAGATTGCTAGCAATGACTAGAATGACTTCCTAACCCTGTAATGCCATTAACGTAGTTTGGCGGAACAGGTTAAGTAAAGTGACCATATCGCTCCTGCTTCAAAAATACCTAATATCTCTACAATATAACGGAAGGCATCGAATTCGAAATTCGGCAGCCCGAACAAAAATTTGACGTAGGTAGAAATAATGCCAATTCTTTGATTAAATCAGTTAAGAGTATAAATGGAGTTGCAATAAGAACATATAATTTAAATAATTTAACAAAAAAACAAAAGAAGGAAAACTGTGAAAATTATTTCAATGGAAGAGTACGTGCATGGAGATGTGAAGCTCAACCCCTCTGCATTCCGTTCGGTGGGCGGAAGCGATCATCAGTATGTGATGGGACTTAGTAGAAGAAGGCGAAGTATGTATTGGGGAAAACTTGTAGTAGATAAAGAAGGCAGAGTGTGAACTGGAGAAGGCTTGTTTTGTTTTATCGAGCTCATTAGGTGCTACAACAGTTGGAATTTGTATTCAATGAATTTTAGCCTCTTTCACAAAATTTTCCATAGCGTAAGCCGTGAATTCTGCAGCTCAAAATTTGCCATCGTTGTTTTATCTTCTAAGATTTGATTGGAAGACGCGATGAACATGTTCAATTTATTCTTCAGATACGCAAGGTAGCCTTTTTTGCACAAATATTTTATGATTTGAAATTCCTTATGTCGATTTTAAATAGATTTCCTGTTTGGAAGTGGATTTCTAAAGTTTGGTTAAAATTTTAACCATAGTAACGGATTTCATCTGTTGGACAAATTCGAAATACTTTCTTTTATTACAGACATCATGTACTTATGTACTGCGCGTATCCTGCTGCACATCTTATTGTTGTGACACACCATGACTGCTTGCTGGAGAAAAGCTTGTATAGTCATTAGAATTTTTGAAGTAGGAAACACGAACAATGAGCAATGCTGTCGCCGGGACTCGAACCTGGACCTCTCAAATATGCGCCGAGTGTGCTACCATTACACCACGAAGGCATGCAGAAGCGAGGAAGAAAATACCTTATATACTTGCCCTTTTAAATGGCGACTGGGGATTAGGGGACCCAGTCGCCAAGTTCTGGTGGGGACGACTTTTTAGTTCGGGTACCACTGTAGAGTCATTAGGAGTTTTTTTAAACAGGAGTCATGAAAAATGAGCAATTGCCCTCGACGGGACTCGAACCTGGACCTCTCGAATACGCGTCGAGTGTGCTACTGTTACATCATGAAGCCTTGCAGAAACGAGGGAGAATACCTTGTAAGCTTCATATTGAAATTTTATACCATCTATATACCTCCTCAAACTTCCACTGGATATTGTTTTGTATGTTTTTTTAATAAATTATTAACAAGTTTTTTAATCTTATAACTATGTACAAAATAGTAATTAAATTTTTTTTTTCTCAGCTTTTTAGAAATACGATAAAAATTTAATGCAGGTGTTGGAATGCGATGTGAGGTTTCGAAAAGTGATGCAACGCAGTCGTTTATTTGATAAAAAAATCAAATATTTTCAAAAATTTCAATTCACGTGTAGTACAATAAACGTTGTTGCTGAGATTAAAAAATTTCACTCTTAAATCATGTAAAACTCTAATTCATTTTCTTACTGTATTTGACTGTTTCCTTTAATAGTATCACGATCCCAGTGATATGGTTAATGATTGAGACACCACTGAGTTCGGATCCCAGATTAAGCACACCACACCCACATTTTTAGTAAAATGGAAGCTCTTAAAATCTATCAATCTGAAAATTCATTCGTGAGGTTGTTGGTAACGGAAAAAGGCTACGAGAGACTGGCAAAGCTGTGCTCTTTTTTCAATAAGATAATCTACTCCAATCATTTAATCAATAATGCTCTGAGCTTTGCTTGAAATCTGAACGTAAATTTAATTTTTTTTATTTATGAAAGATTAAAAATTTGTATTATGTTATACAACCATTCTATAAAATGTGCCTGTTTAGTTGTTACAAATTTATAAATTGCGATTTATATGTTGTACAAAATGTAAATTTAGTTTAAAACTGAAATTATTTCTTAATTTTTTAGGCCAAAGCAACGATCATATGGAAGATGATCATAAGTAAGTTCTATCTCTGACTATATGCTTTGAATATGATTGCATTTTTGTATATATGTATATATGTGTGTGTGTTAGTAATATCAATATATTTGTAAATTTAATACTAAAGCATACGATCATTTATAGTAAATAAATAACTGAAATAGTGATAATTCAGTAGATTTAGACATCATAAAGTAAATGTCTTTTGCGACTAGCTTTAAATCTTTCTTTTAAAGAATGCATTTCAGAATTATTAAACTAATGTCGATGTTGTAATACAGTCTAGTGATAACGATGTTGAGACACTGATATCATCGACTGAAGACATGTGTTTTTCAACACAGGAGAAAAAAAAAAAAAAAAAAAAAAAAAAAAAAAAAAAAAACGCTTCCTGTGACAGATTTGCCTATGGTTTCTACATCTGCGAAGTCTGTTTTTACGTTTTGCCATTGCTGTGGATATCTCTTCCCTATAGATCGCAAAAATTGCTGTGAATATCAAATCGATTGCTGTCGACAGGAGACACTAGAAGCCTACAACGGCAAAGACGAGATGGAAGAATTTACAGAACATCTTCTGGATAATATTAAGACCATCTGCTCAAATTTGCTTCCAACGCGAGCTGCCAAGAAACGGCACAGCATTTCATGGTGGAGTAAAGAACTCAGGCAACAGAGTCAGAAATGTCGTGCTCTAAGGCGCAGAATAAGAACAGCAACCGACGAGGACACAAAAATGCATTACCTTTCAATTTTCCGTAAGGAAAGGGCATCATACAAAAAGAACATCCTCGCAGCAAAGATAACAAGTTGGAGAACTTTTAGCACGCAGAATAACAATCCATACAGCGTCCTCCATAAATTGTCGACTAATAAAATCTACCAGCCATCACAGATCTTCGCCTACCCCTCTCTTACAACAGACATCGCACGAGCCACAGCTGCCACCTACTTAGACGCACTGTTTCCGAATGACGATCCAACACAGGACACAACAGAGCAAAGGGAGATACGTGCAGACTCAACACCTCCAGCAACTCCAGCCGACGAGCCCTTCAGTGACTCAGAAATCAGACAGATCTACCGCCATCTCCCTCTCAAAAAGGCACCGGGACCCGATGGCATCGATTATAACATCCTTAGAATAGCCTACAAGGCAAGACCATCCTTCTTTACTAAATTCTTCAATCAGCTCTTGCACCATCGAGTTTTCCCTCGCGTCTTTAAAGAGGGACAAGTCGTCCTCTTCTTAAAAAAGAATAAAGATGCAGAAAATCCGCGCTCCTTCAGGCCAATATGCCTTCTATCCTCCCTAGGGAAGATATATGAGAAGTTAATAGTCAATAGACTCAGATTTCACCTTCATCGCAGCCGCTATCTCAGTAATAGACAATTCGGCTTTAGAGTTGGACAATCCACCACTCATGCTCTGCACGCTATCTTGGAGGAAATACAAAGGAATAGATCAGGCAACCTGCACACCGCCTTCATCTCGCTGGACCTCCAGAGTGCCTTTGATACACTCTGGTGGCCAGCAATCAAGCAGGCACTCAGGAAAGCGCAATGCCCCATCAATCTCTACAGCGTCCTCTGCCACTACCTGCAGGACAGAAGTCTACTAATAACTCATAACAACGGAGTTACTACTAAACACCAAGAAAGGGGCTGTCCGCAAGGCTCGTGTGCGGGACCGATTCTTTGGACGATTACTTTCAACGCCATCCTGGAGGCCACATGGCCAAGACATACGTCCATCGTCGCCTACGCTGACGATGCCGCACTGTTAGTACAAGGAAGAACCCGCGACGAGCTTGAGAAGAATGGCACCGAGTCTTGTGCACTCTTTGCAGAACTCTGCGGCAAACTTAAACTTCAACTATCTGCTGAAAAGTCCTGTGCCCTGATCATACCGAAGCAAAGAGCCAACCTGAGACGCAAACCATGCATCAAGTTAATGCAGAGGAACATTAAAATCAATAACACCTTAAAGTACCTTGGCCTTCTGTGGGACAACAAATTAACATGGATCCCCCACCTCCAAAGTATTAAACAGCGAACTTCCGAAATAGCAAGAAAAGCCCGCCTATTTCAGGGGCGAAACTGGGGTCAAAATCCCCACATACAGAAAATTCTTTATCTCACAGTCTCAGAGAAAATAGCCCTTTACGCTTCAGCAATATGGCCAATCCGATGAGTGGTAGAAAAGTCAAACAGCTGGGAATTATACAACGACCTTACGCCTTACTCTTGTGTAAGGCCTACAGAACAACGGCCACTAGTGCAGCAGTGGTATTATCTGGTCTAATGCCACTGCACATACGCGCAGAAACTGAACCTGCTTACGCTACTGTTATCCATTTAAAGAAGGAAGCTACCTTCTGCGGAAACACTTATAGTCCAGTTCAGTATGAGCATCCAAAGAATACCCTGGAGACGCACCCTGCGCACAAGGGAAGAAATATAAGGATTCACGTCAGCAGAAGTGGCGAGCAAATTACAATACAGGATCCACGGTACCCAATGCAGTACTATACAGATGGATCCAAGCTCGACGAGGGTACAGGTAGTGCCTTCGTCCTGTACCACGGAGGATGCAAGGAAATCGAGTGGAAGGGGCATCTTCAACCAATAAACAGTACATTCCAGGCTGAAGTCATAGCCATTACCACTGCGATTCAGCATGCAATTGACAGCGGGATCACCGATGCAATGCTGTTTACAGATAGCATGTCAACGCTATTCGCCCTAGTCAACCATAACCACACCTCCCCATTGGTAGCGGACCTCCAGAATATTCTACAATCACATCCTCAACTAATTGTAAATTTAATATGGACTAAGGCACACGTTAACAACGAGGGTAATGAGACAGCTGACCAACTGGCAAAGGACGCAGCAAGCAACATAGCTGCACAGATGGTAACTATTCCAGCGCCACCCTCGTATCTCAAGAGAACTCTTAAGGAAAAAGGTCTGCAGAAGTGGCAAGCTGAATGGGAGACCTGTGATACGGGTCGCAGAACCAATTTATTTCTGCCTAGAGTGAAAATGGAGCGCCAATACCTCCCATCACTAATTACATCTCGGGGCACGGGCCCTATTTTGAGCGATTTTGAGCGATTTTCCCACCTATTTTGAGCGATTTGGTATCTCTCATACAGGCTTGTGCGTCTGTGGGTCGCTCGGAACTCCAGACCATTACATCTTTGCATGCCCGCTCACGGAGGATAATCACCTCCACTTGCCAGCAGACAACCAAATAGCCTTCAAACGATTCATCGTTAATAACAAAGGCACAGTGAATACCATCTGCAGAATAATCAGCCAGATAACCGCCCTGGGGCAAGACCTATGCCAACCCCACTAATTCAGGGTCTTAAGTGAATGTAAGTACTCCTCTGCATCTAAGGAAATACTTCCTTCTGCTAAGCGCATGTACCTTCTTTATGTGTCATGTCATGTATGTGTTATGTTAATATTTTTTTTTCCTTTTCTTTTTTTTTTTTTTCTTAAATGTGTAACCAGTATGTTATGTAACGTATACCTTGCAAACCTAAATCTGTAATACAATATAAATAGCCAACGTATCTCTCATCTGCCCCTGTATGGCAATGTAATAAATCTTTTAAGATCTCAATAAACCTCCGGTAGATAGGGGAGGGCGCGGGACATATGCCTGTTTACCTCTGTTAAACACCAGGCGTCCCCGTCCTCCGTCACCTGTCACCTGTGGATATCAAAGGTTGAAAGGTTTTTTTTACTATTTTAAAAAGCTGAAAAAAAATTATTTCACTTTCGAGTTGATGTTAGTCTGAGTATAATCACTGAATTTTCTACGTTGGGGTTATACACATCATTGTTAAATTTAGTTAAAATTTGATTTGAAAAATCACTTTTTCGTTGTGTAAATTTTACGGAATTTAAAAAATTTAATTTTCACTAATTAGGTAATAATGAATAAATATTTCATTTTAAAATCACTTGTGATGTGGCAGTAATACATATTTACATTTTTGAGTAAATTTTTCACTAGAAATATGTTATGAATTGTTATGTGAACTTAGAATTAATATCTTGCTTAAAATTCACATCAAATCGTATATTATATTATACTCACATCAACATAAAAGTTGTAACGATTATTTTTATTTCGTAACCCGTTATTTTATATTAATTTTCATTTCCTATCAATAACAAAATGCAACTTTCCAGCATGCGAGATATTCAAATAAGGTAGAAAGAAGGAAGTATTTCGAGGGTGAAATTAGAGCGTATTCTGCTTTCTTGAAGGCCACATTGATTCTATAGCAATTAGAATTCTGCGGTGCTGAGTTCTTTTTTGCCATTAGGCTTGTTTATGTCGACTTCGGTTAGAGCCAGTTTGCGCGCTTGTTAGACTGTGAAACCGTGAGGATATATTTAAACTTCATCACTTTCAAGTGTATCCATTACCTTTTTTAATTTAAAGGCAAAAGTGTTAGTTTCTGTAAGAGCTGGAGTTGGTGCCGTCTGTAAAACTTTATTCGAGTTAAGGGCTCTATACGTTCTTCTCCTGATTTTGTAGGACTTTAAAAGACTTAGTGATAATTCACAAAACCGTCTTTTCAACGTCGTGTACATTTTATGTTAGCAAAGAATACACGACGTTACAAAGTATATTTAACATTAATGAAAAAGTTCTGAAAGCTTTAGCTTTCAGATTTTATATCAAGCCCAAAGGGGCGCTTTTTTTTTTTTTTTTTTTTTTTTTTCATTTACACACACATACACGTTTCAAGACACACTCACGGGCTACGGGCTACTGTCCTTTTGGGCTAAAAATATTTAAAAACAGCATATCTTTATAATTTCCGATAGGCAGTTTAGCGGGCTGGCGATAGAAACTTTTTTTTTTTCGTACAATGTTGCCACTGCTTTCTGTGAAATCTTTTCAGTTTTTTTTTAATCAAAAATTCGTTAACGTTTTACAAAATATGAAATAGACAATAAAACAAATTTGGAATTCCAAATTCTGTCTTC